AAAAAAAAAGAACATCAAAACATTAGCAGCACTTTTCTTGGAGAAGTGAGTTTCCGGGTGATTTACGCTTATGTTTTTCTGCCTTATAGAGTTGTATACACTTTTACTAGTTTCTGCTGCTCCTAACCTTTTTATATAATTTATTTCTATTTTATTATTTTTAAAATGTGTTTCAGAATACACAGAAGAAAAATCTTATTAATCAAATGTCAACACATCTCAGTATGAAATAGGCTGCTTTCTAACACTTTTTTCTAACACTAATAACTTAATTTGAAATAATGAGATAAATTAGCCGCCCGTACTGTGGCACTATTACAGGTGAAGTTTAGTATATCTTACTAATAGCTGACTTGAGGGAACCTATTAGTTACAGGGAAAAATTAGTAAGAGGTTTCCAGAGAATTTAATGAAACCAAAACCACTATGACGCTGTTGACAGGTATCATGTGATCATACAAACCATTATTTTTATTGTAGCCAAAGAAATTGTAATCCATGAACTATGCCAGTAAGAATCACTATGAAAATGAAGGGTTAAGTGAGAAGAAAAAAATGTTACCTCGCCCAGTTAAAGCTACTTAAGTATTATTGTATTAGTAGAATTAATTAGTAGTCTCTAAGAAAAAAATGAGTAAGAGCCTTCTCATGAGGCTTATGGGGAGGCAAGAATAATCATCAGACATTAAAAATACGTGGAAATGGGATTACGTTGGAAAATCAAGCATATTCAAACTGGTCAATGCCATTAAAGCCCTCGCCTTCATCTCCCGTATGAGATGTGACATTTACATCGGTAGAAAATCTATGAAAATGAGTGTACAATGACAATAAGTGACTGTGAGTTACCATCCACTGCGGCAAGTTCAACACCTCTGTTTGACTCTTTACCAACTTCCATGCTGTACGTATTAGCATGACCCTTTCATACATAAACTAATGAATGCTTAAACAAATATTTTTTTATGAATAGCCCAACTAGAAAATGGTAAAACCAGGTCTTAAACTCATGTTCCCCTGACTCTAAACCCTCACCCCAAGCCTCATGCTGTG